CTTCCCTTCCAGATGTGTGGCCTTCCCTTGCCAATCAAATTTGCTTAATATCACCTTGCCTTTAACCTTACATTATACTTGTACTTCGACCTTGTACACTAAGTCACTATTTAAATGTTTATTAAAGGTCACACAAATTTCAGATTATAAATTTATTACAGATTGATTCTTAGCTCAGAATGTAATCAAATGATAATAACATTTGAAAATGTCTTTATAGGTCATATGATTCCGGCTATTGATGCTTTCTATATTAGCTATACAGTTGTGGTTGCAACTCTAAGGGCGGTGTCTTACGTTATTATCGATATAACTGCTTCAAACGAGAGCCATTCCGTAAATTGTGACTGGGTTTGACCTACTGTAAATATGTGAAATATAATTTTTTTTTTTTTTTTTAGAAACAATTTATATAGCGCCTATCACAATCCGCAGATTATACAAGTGATTATACAAGGCGCTTGCATCATTATTTTCCTGGTCACTAGATGCTGATTTAACCGAACATTGTGCAACTTTTTCTACTCCCTGGGGAGTATTCCTGGTCATTGCTGCTTGTACGCGCATGACCCATACATTCAATGTCATACCATCCTACCAGGTACCCACTTATAGTTGCCCAAGGACACAAGCAATGGGACGAGCGTCGGTCTCGAACTCCCAATCTCATGATCAGAAGTCCAACACCTTACATGCTGTGCCACACGCTCCTACACTTTTGACTAGCTGTAGCCATCCAATGGACAGAGACTCAAGACAGCCTGTCTTGCGCGGAAAACCCTTCCTCAGTTACCAGCAAGAGGAACTCACATTTTCCAGCTCACAATTTCTAACTCGCAGCTTGCATTTTCCAACTCGCAACTCGCATTTTCCAACTCTCAACCACCGGCAAACACAACTACAACAAAATATTTAAATAATAATGTGCCGTCTACTATACTGTTACAAAAAAATAACTACAGTGAATGGAGACAAATACAGTACTGTACTGTGACATACCATGGTATACAGGACACCCAAGTACAGTACAGTACTATTGACTATACTTACAAAATACTTCAAACCACAAAGGTGTTCTGTGCCTACACAGATCATGCATATAAGAATGAATCAGAATGAAAATGTTCTAATATCTGCCCAAAACCACTTAAGGATGCAAAAAGAGGTTGCAGAACATACAGTACTTGATGTATTTATGTAGGTCACCCTGGTCAATTGGAGAGATTGTACATAGCTTTGGAGAAGATACAGAAATTCCTTTGTGCACTTCAGGTCTCCCTCTAATTAAAGACCACTTTGGGGACTGGGGTTTCTATGCGGTTTTTAGCAGCTTTGGTCTCTAATTAGAATGATAATGATAAAAGAAATTTGTTAATTGGGGACTACAGTCTTTAATTAGAGTTGGTTTTAAATTGGAGAGGTCTTTAATTAGAGGGAGACCTTTATTAATATATCGTTTTTGTACTGCAATGTACAATTTTTTAATAAAAACCAGAATAAAATTAAATTTAAAAAGTTTATTATAAAAATAAACTGAAAATATAATTCAATAAAAGTAATTGAAGCGTCCCTTGTTGTAGTACTTTCGAAAATGAAGGTGAGAAAATACAGAAGGTTTATTTGATTGTTATCAATCATTACTAGAGCTAGTTCCTGTTTAACTTGAGCTTAATTCATTTGTTGTCATGGTAACAGAATTTAATTTATCACAACATCCTGTTTGTTAACTAAACAGTAGCACACAATAACAACACTAATAATAATGGCAGTAATGTGTGTTCCTGTAACAGTACCATGTATAGTCGAACAGCCAATCATAGGCTGTGAGGCCAGGATATTTGCATATTACAGTACCTGGTGCTGTATTATGATGATAAATGCAAGGTCAGTAAAATAATGCCAACAATATGTGTGGATGTCATTTTTTCCCCCCTGGCAATTGCCTTTTAATTGCTCTCCTTTTCATTTTTCTCTATAATTTTCCGGAAAGTACATAGAGGCTCTAGCGGTATGCGCTACACAAGCACTACCATTATTAATAATACTGTAGTATTAATACGGTAATTTAAACATGTAATTAATCTATATATTTTATGAACTAAATTGTAACATTATTATTACATCATTACTGTAGTTATTAATACTGAGTTTATTATACAATATGCCAAACATACGTGAGTATTTTGCTCATGTTTAAAAAAGATTAAAATCATGATTTGTACTTACGGCAACGAACACCATAGTTATGATTAATGATAATGAGCCACAGTTCCCTGTCATGTGACATTCACATACTGTATAGCTAATTTCCCCCAAAGGAGTGTTAATACTTATATATTAGTGATATACAGTAGTACTGTATTTAAGTATGATAGGTCATAGGATTTTTAATATAAATTTTTAATCGTCAGTAGTGTATTGTATAATTAATTGGATAAATATTTGGAGGACTATATATATGTTTGAATGCCATGTTGAAATTTTATTCAATCTCCAATTAGGAGAACAATATAAAAGGTATAGAATAACTAACAAAAATTCAATAAAACAGCATCAATGTATGTACATAATAAAAAACAGCAAAATATTTTAATATAAAAAATAAATAAATGATAATTAAAATAAATAAACAAATAGTAAAAATTCAATAGAATAAATAAATTTAAATAAGTTTAAATAAATACAAATTTAAAAAAAATAAAATTACTAAAATTAAAATAAATAAATAATTAAAAAAATATTAAATTTAAATTAAATTATATAGAATTCACAGCAGCTAATCCAGAAAAAACATATAGCTTTCAAAAAAATTGTTTTGAAATATTTGTTCTTTAACTTAATAATGGGTTGATCCTTAATGAACTTATGCTGAATACAATTCACTCTTAATAAATAGTGTTGCTAGGTAAAAGCCAATGTAACAATGAAACTACTGTAGTCAAATCAGTACCTCCATAAATATAAAACTATGCTGCAGTGAATTACAATTTTAGCAGTGAAAAAGATTATAAAATTTGAGTATTATTACTGAAAATTTTTAAAATTACATTCCTAAAAAGCATCAGAAACGAAATTTCCAAATAAGATTTATTTAAAAAAAAGATGGGATTACCTCAATATACAAAATGTGGTAGAGTTGCATTCAAAATTCCTTTCATAATTGTTAATTACAATATTTAAAAAATTAAATCAGATGGAGCCATGATAAATATAGATTAGTAATAATTGAAATGGCCTTTATATTTTAACTAGACACAAAGTGCAAAATTTCAACTTTTGTGGAGTATCTACTAGGGAAGAAAGGATATTGAGGGGAAACCATAGGCCTACTCCTAAAGAAGCTAATTTTTTATTTAAATTCCATGTCAGCGTTTATGGTCGAGCATTTATAAAAACAATATCAAATACCACACATCCCCCAGCCCCCCCCCCCGGTGCCAGTGCTTAGCACTTCGCTCGCATGGCCCCTACCCAGATTTTTCTCTGGATCCACCCCTGGCTTAAACATCTTAACTAAGATATGTTGCGCTGTTGAAGCATTTTAACCCTCCAACTAAAACACAAGGAGATCAGTGGATAGAACTGAACCGGCGACCAAAATTGTTTATTGATCTCCACGGCTTAGCACACACCAGCCGACTGAGCTGAGCTTGCTCACACACCAGCCTACTGAGCTGAGCTTGCTCACACACCAGCCGACTGAGCTGAGCTTGCTCACACACCAGCCGACTGAGCTGAGCTTGCTCGCACACCAGCCGACTGAGCTGAGCTTGCTCACACACCAGCCCACTGAGCTGAGCTTGCTCGCACACCAGCCCACCAGCCCACTGAGCTGAGCTTGCTAACACACCATCCCACTTAGCTGAGCTTGCTCACACACCAGCCCACTGAGCTGAGCTTGCTCAAAGAGAAAGTAATGGTATTTGCAAGTATACTACGAAATAAAGATTATTATTCATAAAAGAATATTTATAAGGACACAATATAATTTATATTACAAAAATTCCTTTCCTTTGTAATACTGTTCTATTCAAAATGTCATTTTTGGTTGTTATATTACTTTTGGTATTTGGGAAGTTTCAGATGTCTTGTAAAATTCAGCATTAAAATATGAAGTATTCCACAAATTGCTTTTGTGGGTGATAATGTTTAAAAGAACGTCATTTATTAAAACAATGCCAGCATTGCAATACAGAAAAGAAATATTAACCAAAAAGGAAGAGAGCATACCACGCAGTTATTAAGAAAAATTCACGCATCCTGTTGGAACAAATCTACTGGTATATTCATTGTTAAGTATCGGTCACACTCCGCTGAGTTTAGGAATGATTAGTATTAGTCAGAATGAGAATCATTCAATTTTTGGTTTATACAAAATCTGCTGTAAAAAAGGCTCTTATTTGTTTGGTGAATCTATTAATATATAACAGTCCTTTTACATCCATTTCCCTTCTCATGGGGTCAAAATGTCAAAGGTAATGTTAGGCTGACCTACATTTCCTTACCTCTCTCAACGAAAAGTTAACGTCAGCTGTACAATGTACTTTCTTCATTGAATGAAACCATTAATTTATTCTCATGTCACGTATGATTGACCAATCAAATGGCTAGAATATCAATAGGTGTTGTATAATATCAAAATGTTGGTGATGTCATGTGGGAACCTACTACTGATGTATAGATTGATAGTACCATACCTCCATGATAGTACGTTCATTGGTTGGTTGGTTTTATTGTTTTTCCACACACAAAAGTAATTGTATAAGTTGAATGAATGAACTTGTAAGTTTAATAAGAAATAATTTCCAGATATATTCACACCAAAAAATCACAAAAGAAAAGTGATGGTGGGAGACTTAAAAGAAAGTTGGAAAACAAAATGTGTTGCCGACGGTGGTACTGGTAGTGATCTAGTACTGCAAAATCAAAATCTCAATATTCTAAATATTTTGAAGTTAATTTGAATAATAGAATAATTTCCATTCTGCCACCTCTTTCAGGATTGCAGACAATCGCTGAACGGCTAAACCTCCGTCTCCTCGTTCCACGAAAAAAGATCACTGTACTTCTCATTGGTAACCACTCGGCTGGAAAAAGTTCTTTCATTAATTGGTAAGTTTCCAAGAAAACAAAACTTATTCAAGATAATTGTTTACAAAAAGCACATTTGTTAAGTCTTGTTTGGTGTTGGATTTACAAGTCTGTTATGAGCTACAGTACCATGCTTTACTAGGGAGCTTTTGATTGCATGACGCGGTAGAATCTAGAACGTAATGACCTCGCTAATATTTAATAAGTTCTTCTCATCGTGTGGATTCTAGGACGCAATTTAGCCAAATCGACGTGTAGAGAACATCGGACAGTCACACATGAGTGAACCCGTTCTAGAGTCGCATCGTTGCGCAGATCGAAAGCCTCCTATTATTATTTGAAAGCAAGCCAAGAGTAATGTTTGATGCTTTGATTCTGCAGTTAAATTTTTATACATTATATAGTTTTGATTTACAACTGAATTCCTTTTCTTTTAAATTTAATCAATAAATTAATTATAGTTTACTTTTTTATAACTATTTTTATTCTTATTTTCTTACATTTATTGCCAGATGTATATAAATAATTACAAACACTGATAAATTACTGTGACATATAGCCAGAGAACACTTTTTTCTTACAACATATTTATACAAAACAAGTATTCAATAGTTAAAAATCAATAAAATGTATTGTACTGAGATACTTATGTACTGTATACTGTATTTAAAATTAATAGATTTCATTGGATCTTGGCCTTGTGGGAATTGTGATTGTGGTTTAAAACTAATTCAATAGAGTTATATATTATATACAGTGCACCATCCTCCAATTAAAAACTCCCTCTAATTCAGGACCACTTTTTTAAAGAACAAATTAACAATCTCCAATTTTTTAACACAAACAGCTAACCCAGCTAACGCTCTAATTGGAGACCGCATTCTGAAACCATCCCATATATTCAGGACAAACTGTATATAGAATCATGGAACTTATGTTCCCTGATTTTGGTTTGAAACTGAGACTGAGACTGTTTACTCAATGGTATACAGTCCTATAAAATCCATGATTAAGATATTAAGATAATTAATTCATGATCTTTTCAATAATGTGAGTTTCTAGACTTTCCTACCAGTCGTTTATGGTTGACCATGTGTATGAATGATCATGGTACACAATGGCGGCGCTATGGTCGAGGAGGACTCCAAAATTGAATTAATTTTGACCCCTGGACCAATTTCCAAAGGTTTTTAGTTGGTTTTTAGCGACGCTTTACCACACCTACGTTTTTCTCATTGGGGAACTTGGACCCCCTTTCCCGTCGGGGAATCCTGGCGCCGCCACTGACGGTAGACGATGATCCTGATGATGATACAGTAGCATCCGTGTTCATAATATAATGTCCTTAATTTAGAATCACATAAAACTTTCAAATTAATATCTAATATCGGATTCAATTATGGATGTTAGTACAGTATTTAAAGATGTATGGTCCCATGCAAAATACTGTACCAAAAAAAATCATAAAAATCATTTTTTAAATTAATTTTAACATTTTGAGGTATGGTAACATAAAAATTATCAACTTGAACATAGAAATTAGTGTATTTAAAAATTGTTTACCCGTAATTTTACAGCAAAAAATGATAAAAGCACTTCTAGTCACTGGAAGTATTTAATTACTTTTTATTTCCATTATCCAGTATAAAAATCAAAGTACACATTTTTTAAATATAGTAATTTCTAGCTCAATCATTTTTATGTTACTGCAAAATGAGCAAGCTAAAAGTTTTTTTTTGTTATTTTCGGGGGACAAAACATCTTTATTAAGTCAAAGAATAGGATAGAAGATGCTGCAATTGTTGACCATTGTTTTGCTGTAGGAAATATAGTTGTAAGTGATATTCTGGTGGTGGTATGTTGTTGTCGTAATTTTAACGCGCTGTAAACTACTTTGAATGGCTTAGTGCCACCTGATAGGCTAAGCCTCAAGTAAATCCAGGTTTTTGTGCCATTCTAGGCCGATAATATGCATCCTCAACCATAGACAGTTTTTTTTAAATTTCTTTGTGGTCATATCAGTGAACAAAGGGAGTGCTGAAACAGATTATTTTAAAGAATTATTACCGGTAATAGAAAGTGTTGCCAAGAAAAGAATTTTCATTCCATATTTTTACTTGGTCTTACTTGGTCTTTCACCTGTGTACATAAGTGACATGCTAAATCTTTGCTCGATGTCATGTACACGGTCATTGCGATCATCAACTGGCAGGTTTGTACTTACCAGATGCTCTTCTAGGCTGAAATCCTATCGTGATAGAGCCTTTAGTGTTGCTGCACCTATCCTTTGGAACCAGTTACCAACAGACATAAGAAAAGCTACAAGTTGAAATATATTTCAGTTAAAGCTCAATAAATTCCTGTTTTCTTGATTTGCTGACCTCTGACCCCGAAACCTTCACTTAGAAATTCTGGGATGGTGTCCAGTGGGGGATAGTTTAACCAATTATTTAAGTTATTTTATTTTAGCGTATGTAAGTGTAGTATAAGATTATAGTGTCCTGGGTACGACATTCAACTACATCCTGTCGAGTCGTCAGCGACTAATTCGGCAACCCCATTTGGTGGTCTTAGCGGCTGCTGATGGGAGGGTGGATGGACACCCAGCAACAAGAAAAAAAACAGCTGAACAAAGGGCGGATGAACTCCTCTCTTATACACATCTAGATGTGTATAAGAGATAGTTGGATCTAGCAAGCATCTTCACAGATTCCAAGAACTTAAGTAAATAAAGATCTTTTTAAATAAGAAATGATGTGGTGTTAGAATTCATAGTTACTCTAATTCCTTGACTAATCAGAAACAAGTGCATAGTGACCCATCATGTGGCTAATATTCAAACTAGCTATTAAAAATAGTTATTAGAATATTAGAAATAATAATATAAATAATTAAAAGACAGTAATTAAACAGTTATGTTTATCATATAATTTCATATTGTTAAATAATGTAAGATTCCTCATAGATCTAACCGCTGATGGGTATAAATTGATATTAATACCATATGTTGAATTTCTGACATCATGAGACCACAGTTGGAGCAAATGATGGTTCCACTACATTTTAGATCATCTGCAATGGACACTTTCAGTGTAACTACATAAACTAGTATCAGCTTAACTTAATCCCTTATACACACATCAATACAAAATCTCTGTCAAATATTATTGTTAAAAATGTAATACAGTTGAATTAGCAAGAGGAGTTTTCTATTATTACAAATGTAAGTTTGAACTTCAGGTTTTGGCAACTAAAATTAAGTTCAGTGGCATATCTTGAAAGGTGGGGACATGAAGGTGAAGTGGGGCTTGATTAGATGAAAGGGCGCTAGCTTAGCAAAGTGATTTTTAACTACTTGAGTGTGTGTTTTTTTTTTTTTTTTTTTGCTTCAAACATTCTCCATGGGTCTAGAAGGTGCAGATATTTTTGGGGGAGCCCATGCATCCCCAAGATAGGCCTCTGGTTGAGTTGCTTTAGGTCTACACTGTTGGCCAAAATTAAGGCATAGCCATACCTCATAAGTTTAGATTGAATTAGATTGTTTTACATTGGTGTCTTTTTAAAAAATTATACATAAAAAACAAATTTCTTGTTTTCAAATGAAATTGAAATTGATTTGTATGTGATACTGTAGTTCTTTTCTAAATTTCTGTACTAAAGATGTGATTAACATTGTTTCATATAAACTAAGTGAAATCTTTTCAAATTCATTTTACACTGATATTTCCAAGATGGCTTCAGCTATCGATGTGTAAAAGTAAGCTGACTGGTCAAAATGCAACTAGACTATATTTAGTTTATCTATGTTACCATTCTCTCAGAAGGAATCTGATTGGTCAAGAAGTTTGTGAAAGTGTTAGTGTATCTTATAATGTGATAGTGCAATATATTAGAGTTATTTTAGTAATATGATCAGTTCCCCCTCCCTCGTCTCCTTCCACTAGTACTCATTAGTATATCTAGGTGTAGAATGATGTGTTGAGTTTCTTTGTGGTCAGTCTTCAAGGCCTGTAGGCCAATTGGTCAGGGGCAGTCAGTTTGCTCTTGGGAACAGCACCTTGGCACCAAGGTTTATGAGGTTCATGGCAAACTGGACAAATAGTACTTATCAGTAAAGTAAGAAGGTTTAAGTTAGGCAAACAACAGATGACCATCAGACATTGCTCTTCAAATGGAGGTCTTTTAAGCTTATGAATATTCATCAAGGTTGTTGAGTAAAAAGCTGTGTAGAGCTCTTGCAACAGTTGGATTTAAATTAGTAGCTGAGTAGCCGGCGACACTGGTGCATACAGAATCGATGCTCCACCCAAATTCAATGAAAAGCTTACTTGTCAACAAATTTACACAAATTAATTGAGGTAAGAGATGATCTATTTGATAATAGTTTTATTATTAATAATATTTAGTCTAGTTTTGTTGCCAGATGGAATTTTCGATACACAATATTATTCATATTAAAATATTTATCATCCGTATTTATTAACAATCATAAAGTTATTGAATTACTATGCACTATTTTCAAGTGCTAGAGTTGTTGCATTCTCTATGAATCTAGTTTGTGGTTCATACTTCTTTTTTCAGTGTATATCAGTAATTGTCAAATCAAATCATCAATTCTGTCAAATCATATATTCTATTGATCAAATCATCAATTCCAGGAGATATTTTTGTAAACTTATAAATACAAGTTCATGTTTTGCTGATATTAAGAAGCAATGTAGAGATGCAAATTGCATCTATAATTCATGTTTGCATGTGTGGTGTTGCCAAGTGAAGCTGTGTTATTGGTAGTAAGTAAAGTCATGTTTCATTGGCTAATTCTGAAATTTATCTCTCCTCTGACTGACATTCAGTGTGGTGGTATTATTTTAGTTGCTGGTAATACTGTACATAAATGGGAAAAGCATCAGGTATTTTTACACTGTGCTATTGGCATTTACTCTGTAATGACCTTAATTACTTTTCTGAAAGTACTATATATTTCAAACAATGGTATAGATATTATCTGGTATTTAGAAAAGGATGTAGATTTTTAATTAATGATTTTTTGGACAATTTCATGAAATGAAAATGAATTCATCTTTTAAATGAAAGATCGTGTGAGTGGCTCCATCCATGTTCTGCTCATCCAGGGCTAAGCCATCATAATAAAACAATGAATAAGTTGATCAACCTCGTACATGGTTAAATGTGGTTCAGGTTTATTTATTCAAATTCAAATCACAAAAAGGAGAACAGGTACAAAAATTCACAAAGCAAAAGTCAATATAAAATTGAATTGGAGACTAATGGTGTTAAAAACAGAATTACAATAAAATTACAAAAAATACATTAGAAATACAAGTAGAAAATATAAAAATACATTGAATTAAAAGCAATATTATTTAAAATTTCTGATTTATGTACAATTGAATTATGTATTAAAATTAAAAAATATTATTTATTATTATTCTCAATTTCAATTATTATTATTATTATTTATTGCACTTGAGCTAATCCAATTATAACTGATGTACACAAATTATAAATGATGTACACAAAAAAGACATAGGAAATGTTTATTAGAAATGCAATGAGTATGATTATAATTCCAATGCTAACTATAGTTTAATCAGTATATGAGGGGTGCCTGTACATGCCAGTACTGTAGTACAAGAATAAAACTCGGCTTCCAAATTCAGTATTATTGATTCAGTTGTCACAACTTTTCCGTACCATATCATTGATCTTCAAAATAATAACAACAACTGTACAGTGTCAGTTTCAGAACTTTTATTAATTTATTTTGAATAATATGTGTACGGATGACTTTCCAACTCAAAATTTATTAAATTAATAACAACATATTATACAATATAACAATATCAATCAATCATAAAACACTGTGTCTCTTGAGGGACATTATACAAGGTTGTAGTAATAAAACATTCTATAGTAAAAAAAGAGGCATTGGGAATGATAGCTTTCATCTTGTTGCTGGCCAGTTGGATGTGAATTAAAATTCAAAAGTAATCAGTTGTATGTTATTTTTGAATCACCCCTTTGTAATATCAGGCCAATAAAAAATTAAACTGTTTCTCATCAGGAAAAAACCATACATATGCCTTCCCCACATGAAGACAGAGTTTTTATATACTGTACTGTAGTACAGCAGTGGTGGCTCTAAGATATATTTTCTGGGGGGGGGGGGGGGGTTGGTGTCCACCAGGGGGACTTGAGCTTGTAGGCCCAAGTTGGGGGCCTACAAGCTCAAGTTAAATAAGATTTTTTTTAAAAATGGGAACCTCTAGATAGCCAGAAATGGCACTCTCAGACTGTGACAGACATGTGGCTTGGTGTGGGCATATTTTTATGTTTTTTTTAGTCAGACTGCCCGACGAGCTCTGTCCAATGACCTGTCCGGTGGGGAACTTAACCCCTGCTGCCCCGCCACTGTAGTACAGTATAATCTGAAATTGTTAGTGTACTGGTTATATACTTATAGTACAATGATTTTAACTCTGATTCATCATCAAGTAGTGCCATCTTCGATTCGAAGGTTGGCTGTCATGTGTCGCCACTGCTTGCAAGACTCAGCCATTCTTTTTATATTTCTCCATGTTTTCTTATGTTTAACCATTTTTTAATGTTATCAAACCATATCTTCCTTGGTTTTACTCTTCATGGCTTCCCTTTCTATCTTCCCTTTCAGAATATTACATATTAACGTTCCACTCCATTCTTTGATTACAAATGTAAAGTGAAAGTTGTAAATCACTTTAAAACTGTTACAACTAAAGTAGTTGTTAATTTTACATTACTGTCAATTGTCCAATTAAGAGGGTGAAATGTGGTTACTTACTACCATAAGTCACCACCTAACAACCTGACCTGTCTCTATCAATTACTTCACAGTCTAGTGAACTAATAATTCACATTAGAACCAGTTAAAGATTAAATGCACAGCACAATTGAATACTTATGAATGAAAAATATCTCTGTTTGTTAAAACTCACCCTAAAGTTTTTCTAACATTTATCTACTTTTTCAAATTAATTTTAGTTTCTTTTTTACCAATTAAGAATGGTATTTAATTATTTTTAAAAGGGAAACTATTAAACTAATGTCATATTAAATTGATATTTCTCTTTAACAAGTATGACTATGGCAAAGATGAATTTGAATTGTCCATTAGTGTTAGCAGCCAGGGTCTAGAAAAATAGGCGTGTCTATTTAGTTAGTAGCTAGTGTCCAAATATTAAGTACCCAGCACAATTGGATACTTATGAATGAAAAATATCTATTTGTTAAAACTCACCCTAAATTTTTTCTAACATTTATCTACTTTTCCAAATTAATTTTAGATTCTTTTACCAATTAAGAATAGTCTTTAATTATTGTCAAAAGGAAAACTATTAAACTAATGTCATATTAAATTGATATTTCTCCTTAACAAGTGTGACTGGCCAAGATGAATTTGAATTGTCCATTAGTGTTAGCAGCCAGTGTCCAGAAAAATAGGAGTGTCCATTAGTTAGTACTAGTGTCCACTTAACTGGGTTTGTCCTAGGTCCTTGAGCAGTCCAAGTATTTGTCCATGGAAGGCCAAGCACATAATAACCCAACCAGCACCTTAACTAGATGATGGCAGTTCATGAGGTTTATCATATCTATACGCATGCGTAACTTTTATGGAAGGACACCAGACTAAATTAAAGTATACAATAAGCAATGTCCAGTTGCTTGGTCATTGAATGTCCAGGGACATAGACCATTAGTATGGACATTCAAATGAGTTAGATTAATTAAGTGGCCTTGTGGATTAACAGATGTTTATTGATCTCTGAGCTTCAGATACAGCATTCAAGGATGTCTTACCTGGGTAAAATCCATTTTTGTAATTAGGGATGTTTTGACAGATTATTGATAAACCTATGTCGTATTGCCGTGTACGATCAATTTAAAAAAATGGGTCTTTTTATTTTGTCTTAAAATTTATTTAATTATCCTTTCATTTTCAAGACAAACCAAATTGTATGTCTTCATTAGTGCTTTTATGTGATTTCTTGCTTTTTTAACAAACTGTGAAATAAACCTAAATGACCCATTTCGTTCAATAAATTGATATGCAAGTAATATTTTTCCTAATTCAATAAAATAAAATTGTTTTAAATTACTCGTGTAATAGATTACCTATATTTTTTAAATACATTAATAATTCTGAGTAATACAAACTTCCCTATTAAGTATAATGGAATATCTGCACATGACCTGTTGTGAATTCATTAGTGCATGCGATTTCAGACTATTAAGATGAAGAGAGGCAATAGCAAGAAATACAAATGAACAAGGTTCACAAACAAACGAGAAAGCTGTACAGAACTTTACGTACCTGTTATACTTATCTGTACAGGTACATACGTTGCATTACCAGTACCACATTTTGCTTAACTTTACTGCATTTTTCTTACCTGTACCACATTTTCTTTATCTGCGCCACATTTTCCTAACCTGTGCCTCATTTTTCTTAGCTGTACCGCATTTTGCTTACCTATGCCACACTTTGCTTACCATAGCTGTGCAGCATTTTGCTTAAATGCGCCACACTTTGCTTAGCTGTACTGTACTTTGCTTACCTGTACCACATTTTTCTTACCTGTGCCGCATTTCATTTACTTGTGTAGCATTTTCCTTACCTGTGCCACACTTTTCTTACCTGTGCCGCCCTTTTCTAACCTGTATTGCACTTTACTTACATACCGCAATTGCTTACTTGTACCAACTTTGTTGTGTACCCGTGCCACATTTTCTTTACCTGTACCATGCTACCTTTACCCGTACCTTATTTTACTTACCTGTTCATGGTATAATAATTTTCTTTGTAGGGCAATGCTACCTTGCACCTATATCCCCACTTTAAGGAACTGGCAAAGATCGATGGTAAGTGTTTTTCCAATTTTTAGCTTATTAAAATTACTCTGTGTTACCATTCGTCTTACGCTTCTGGTTGTTCATACTCTGATAATATAAATGTAAAATTATTCTAGGAATTTATATTCAAGATTGATTTTATCCAATTTGTTGACCTAACATTGAATTTATAATCTAAGCTGCCAAGATTTGTCCATTAATTTTTAAGCTTTCCTCATTAAAAATCCTAGTTTAATACCACCATCAATATTGTCTTTCAGGTCAAGTAAATAACCTGGAATTTGTTTGCATAGTTTTTTTTTCTATTTTTCCCCTGTTTTCATTTGTTCTTTTTTATACAAACACACCAGTACTTTCAAAGTTATAAATATGCATTTTGATATAAATATTCATGAAGCTTTGATATACATATTCATAAGCATTTGGCTGTTCTTAGTTGCATTAAATTTAAATTCCTTATAATTACTGTTCTATGTTATTAACAAATATATTCAATGCATATTTTATTTATACCATAATAGTTACAAAGTATTTGGTTATAGTTTCATTTAATTTTTAAGCCATGTAAGATACTTCAATTTTTCATGGGCATATTAAGAATTTTTTTTGCTACTTATAAATAGAGCAGAATCACCAACATATGTCACAATTAACAGATGAAATTATGTCAATACTGTACATGAATTTCAGAAAACAAAATAAATTAAATACAAGCTTGGTTTATACAGTAGTTTAGGTGATTCAATGCCAGTTAAATACACTCCATGATACTGACTGATGTTAGAGTGCCCTTTTATTATTTTGCAGTACAAATTCACAAAATTTACAGCATTCATTTTGAAAAGAAGCCTCCCTCTTTACTTTGCAAAAGAAGCCCATCCAAAGTTCGTAAAGAAAAGAAGCCCAGGGCTTCAATTCGAGGTTTTATGGTAATGTCAACTAGTGAAGGTCCTAAGAAATACCGTACCAAACATTGTTTTACTTTCCAGAATAATAGGTATAAATAAGCCAAGTGTGAAAAATACTTGTGTCCTATAATGTTATAAGTGAAGGTAACTGCATTGAGTTGACACCCTCTAATCCAACGGTCTTCCAGCTATGGGCCCGGCCTAATTTTGGGCCACAAAACATATTTTGGGGCCGTGAAGTAGCTCAGGAAAAAAATTTGAAGATTTGTTTTTACAAAACTGCTTCAAGGTATAGCGAACACTATACTCAGTTTATACAAATTTGTTGTCACTAATGAACAGATAATGATGTCAAATTATTAAGAACATGGAGGTAATTTTCATGTCGGAACCTCTTGCCAAGTTTGGCACCACTGGGCCTAGGCTTGATGCCTAGAATCTCAAGTAGGCCATAAAGTAAACATTTTGCAGAACACTGCTCTAATTTATCCCACTGCTACAATATCATCTCTTATGCCCTCCCCTTCTCCATGTCAAGCTTCCCACCCATATTTGTTATTCAAAAAGTTATATAGATATCTTTATACCATTGTATTATACAGTATGCAGCATCTATTAGTATTTTTAATATTTTCCTGAGAGGTGATGCCTACCAACATCTTACCACATCAGTTGCTTGGAGTTGTTTTGTTTTTGCTCTTATACTTCGTGTTACCACGCTTCACTGGTGTGCTGATGTGTCCACGTCTTATGTGCATCAGCTGCCCGGTGAAGTGTAGTTTCATGTGGTTTTGGCACGCACAGATGGAATTAATGTCTAACATATCAATAACTGGGTGTTTTGAAGAAATATTGTATGATAAGGACATGCAGTGCTAAGACAATAAAAAGAAACTGTAAAAAAGAACTATTTAATTAAATAACTACTTTAAAAAAACTATTTAATTGAGTAACTATTTAAAAAAATTATTTAATTGAATAACTATTTTTTAAAACTATTTAATTGAATAACTGTATGGTGTGAGAAATTAATTTAGTAGTGTAATATCAAGGAGGTAAGAATATAGTGTGAGATAGCATACTGTACATCAATAACATACACGAAGGAAGAAAACAGAAACATGGCCATGCACACACCCACTAGCTTATCAGGTACACATGCATCATTTTATTATTATGCATGGCAATTTAACACATATCATAAACATTAACACATTTGTGAATACATGCATTAGCAATACATTAAAATCCAATGTGTAGATACATTGCCATTACAACAACATTAATGAGTAGCATGTATCAACAGTATTTACCAAATATCCATAAACTTATAATCGATTGAGAGACTGTAGCTTGGTAATTAAGATGTTTGCTTTTGAATTATAGGGTCCCTGGGTCCAAATCCTTTGACACTAGGATTTTTTCTCATAACGTAGACTCCACCCCCCAAGTTTCAAATAAAGCATGGTTCCCTCTGAAGTTAAGGAGTGATGAACTGTTAACAAAAGAACAAAAAAATATAAAATAAAAACAAATACTGTAATGATAATATAATAATGTTATGATTTAGCATCTATACAAGTCAAGTTTCAAAGTGCTTGCAACTCAGTGGCGGATCCAGGGTGGGTTCAGGGGGTTTGGACAAACCCCCCCTCTGAAGAAATGTAACAAAATACTACTAGGTCCTGGCTTACAAAATGCATGCTTACCTACCTTGGAATAGGTTGGCAGATCGGACAAACTAAGCTTAGCCCAACTAGCCTTCAATTAATTACAATTAAAAACACTGTTTTTTGTTCGACGTCAATAATTTATGTACGAAAGTGCGTTCTTCAAGCCTATCGGTTCATCAAACCATGGAAGAAAGACTAAGTATCCAACTACTTACTATTGTTGGAATATAATAATATATTGGCTATTTTTTTCTCTAAGTATAGGCCTAAGAATGAGATAAATTACCCACCTTTTTCAAGAGGGGGAAAAGGAAAAACCTTGAATTTTAAAGAACTTAAAGGTCATTAAAATCCTGGATCCGCTCCTGACATTTGTCATTGGATTTATAATTTGGCAAACTGGCACAAAGTCCAACCTTAATTCTCCACTCCATAGAGAGTCCCTAGGGATTATACCTGTTTTAATGTGGCAACTTGGTGCAGAGACATATTCAATGCCACAACATCTACTAGGTACCCATTTATACCCCTGGGTGAAGAGGGCAAACATAATGAAAGTGCCTTGCCCAAGGACACCAGGAAACTTCAGTCAGGGTTTAAGCCCTGACCTCAAAATTGAGAGCCAAAAACGGAATCACTGCACCAACCACCAAAAAAAATAATAAAATATTTTACATTAAATGGTAAATAAATATTTCACCTACTCATTGGTCAACATCAATGGATTCACTAGTTGGTAAGTCTGACCTGTGACCTTAGGCTGGTGACTAACCAATGTTTCTATCTGGACTTATAGTAGAAACACCTTTTAAGAACAATTTAATACTTTATGCTTATAGTTCATACAATATTATTAAGTTTATTTACAACCAAAAGCACAATTTTTTGGTGAGGAGGTTAAGATTTGGCTTCCAAATTTAAGATTGAAACTTAAGTAAAAGCTGGCCATATCCATGGTGTATCTTTCAACCTAGGAATATAAGTGGTTGTAATGCTAATGCATTGTTTACTAATGTAGCTACAACATTATGGGATACTACTCATCTAGAGAGTAGCTATATTATGTGTCTGATCCCATGATGATGTAAATTACATAAGCCTAATAGTTATTTCAATAATGTAGGCCTATATGTTGACATACACCGTGTTCACATTATGTGTTTTCTCTTTTATTTATATAACATATAATATAATAATGAATATTCATATAACATTTAGACCATGTTACATAGTAGTGTATATTTACATACAGTATAATCATTAACATATTTCCTTTACAAATGTTCATTTATCATATTACATATAATGCCTATCCATGCATGTGACAGCTCATAACAATAATAATAAATAGTAGTTGTAAACATACACGATGAATAATACAACGTACACTAGTTTTACAAATGATCTTGTTATGATTAGTGTATCTGTCTAGCAATTTCATAGCATAATCCCTCTGGCAGTTCATTTCTCATATCTTCTTGCTTGTTGTATATAATTATCCACATTGTAAGCATCATTTAAGGATCTCCCAACCTGTGCCTCACACATTCTAAGCTTTTCACTAACAAAGGTTAGTTTTTCAATATTTCTAGCATTTTATTATTTATAGCATAATTACAAAATACAACCATATGAGGTACGCTGTTTATTTAATAATTCTAACTCTTTATAATTATTAAATGTTATTTTTTAGTTTAATTTTGGCCTCATGTGAAATATACATTGAAATGTAATATAGTCCATTAAAACTCATATTATTAAACGATTTAAAAGAAATATTTTTGCATTAAAAAACATCTATGTCTTAGAAATTCTACTCAAAATTAAATGAGAAAGAATTATAATAAATTTCATTAATAGAAAACTATATTTGATAAATTAGTTATACAGAAAAGAATGAAAGCCATTGACAGTCAGGGATCTTCTCAACATATTGTGTTTATAAATTTCTCAGCATACTTAAAGCTAGAAGTGAACTCACATGATATTTTGGATCAGTGCATCACTGAACCATGAGCGACCAACACTATGAACATGGTCGCAAAGCAGATGCTCTTTATAAAGACAGCAGCCGAATATGATTTTGTGAAAACGCGTTTCCAATATGGATGTAAATTCAATGACTAGGATAATCTAGTGAAAATAATGGCCAGATTTCAGTAAGTAATTTATTCATTTTTCTAATCTGTTTTACTGACTGCAGCGATGTAATTTGAAATTTGAAATACATTGGTTGTTGTGATGTAAACATTTTATAACGATAGGTATACTTCATAAAATATGCTGCATACAGTTAAGCAGAAAATGCAAGACATTGCATAACAAATCTTATTCCAGTCTGATAGATTAGATTCATTGTATTCTCTCCTACATCAAATAAGATATGAATTGTATTTAAGTACCATAAATATATCTCAAAGTCAGGAAATGAGATATCAAATTCTTGATGTAGGCCTTGGTTATCTGATGTGTTGCTGATAACTCAAGTTTGAGTTTTGATAATGATTGACAAATTTAAGTACTATACTCAGCATTGACTAATCAATATAATAATCAACAATACAACTAGTAATATAAACCATGGATATAAAGGACTTATTCAAATGGATCGTTATTCAGAGAGTCAGTTGGTAATGCTTAATATCTTTGATGTTCGTTCTTAACTACTTTGTGGATGGTAGCATGGAACTTGGTCTGTGCTACGCTACTATCTTGTGCTGCATTGTCGAATCAATTGAATGCAGCATGATGTAGTGGTGTAGTAATGATCAGACGAACAGTGCTACAGCTTGGAACATAACAATGTCAGCTGAACTATGCTACAACTTGGTACTAAGACAATATCAGAACTACATAGAGCATGCTATAAGGACAACAATGTTAGACAAACGTGCTAAAGCTTGCTACAAGAACAAGAATGTCAGACAAACAGTGCTATCTAGAGCATGCTATAATGACAATAATGTGTCATACAAACGTTCTACAGCTTGCTACAAGAACAATGTCAGACGAACAGTGCTACAACAACAATGATGTCAAAAGAATAGTACAGCTTGGAAAACAAAAGTATAAACAACAGTGCTACAACTTGTGCTACAACTTGTATTAGTGCTACAGCTTGGAAAACAACAACAATGTCTTTGACAACTTTTCAATGTTCGTCATTCAGTTCACATCCAACAGAAAGTAGCTTATTAATTAGAATGTAAATAACTCATTAGTTAATAAATTTTGATTTTTGTTTTGTTATCCCATAAAGGTCATAGTATTATTCGTGTTTAAATCCATAACCTTAGTGAAATTGATCACCACAATGATCAAAGAGAAATTAGATGAAATAACCACCACCATGATCCACTCAATGTTGTTATGATGGTGACAATGATGGTGGTGGAAAATGCAATACTTTAATGGTACTGTCCCATTGAGATTCTAAGCTGTTGTACCAGGAAACTGTAAACAGATCTACAAACTCTTTGTAACAAGTCTCAATATGAACATTTGTTGATAAAATCTAGATGACCAAATCTTGACATGGGATGTAGCTGGATTAGAGGAGCTTGATGAAAGTGTTTGTGAGACAGTGGTCACATGACTAATGACGTAATTTCATGGCTGTGTTTATTCTCTGCATTTAGTGACGCAAGACATTCATTTTGATAATAATATGTTAGATATCGGATCATAATACAGTATGTACAGTATTTCTTTGCTTGAGTAATGAACTTACAATAAGCCAATCTGTTTTCATTTTCTTTTATGATGTTTTGTCTCAAATGTGAATTTATGTTTGTTTAATTTTTTGCAATGAGGTCTGTCTTACAATACTTTCTTGGAAATAAGTGTATTTTTTTTTTAATCCTGAATATACCGGTATATAAATTTCCATTGATAAATTTATAGTTTTAATTGCTGTTAATTGAGTAAACATTACCTTTTGATTCAACAGATTTTGTTAATTGTAACCTGAAATTCTGAATTAAACATTTCTATTATAGCTACAACCCAAATCATCATCCTTATCATCTTATCATACTGTCATCACCATCCACACCATTGCATTCATCATCCTTACCATCACCATTCTTATCATTATCATCAACATCATCTTCGTTCTTATCCTCATCATCATCATTATTGTCATCATCACTAATATTCCTATCATTATCATCATCATCGTTATTTAATCTTCCTTATCACTATCTTCACCATCATCATCTTTATTATCATCATAATCATTAATTAATCATTAATTAAATAACTAATTTAAATATGTATGAATGGTTCATAAATATGTGATGTGAATGAAATAATAAAGTTAATTAGTGTAAGTTTATTTATCAATAGGAGTTGTGGAATACTTGAACACAGAGATAACAACCTCAAAACAGAAGAAATTCTCACTGGTGACGTTTGTTGACACTCCAGGACTCGTCGATGGAGACATGAAGTATCCGTTTGACGTGGATAAGTCTATTTTGTGGTTAGGTTAGTAATACAGTTAGTATTAATATTATATATTACATCCATTACTATGTTATTTGCATTAGAAAAGCCAATACAAAATGCATGGCCACATGGCAGAGTGTACCGAGATAAATAGTTTTACATATGATATATATAAATATAATATTTATTATATATAATATGTATATAATATGTACATTTATCAGTGAATGTTTAAAAGTAGTTTCATTATATTCTTTCCTTATTGGTTGCACTCAAACATGATCAATTTTCATTTTTATGCAAAGAATTAATAAATTGCTGCTACCTTTCTTGTAGGATTCTTTCTGATTTTTATTTGTCAAGAATGACAGAATATTATTATTACATTTTTTAAAGTGTTTCGTTTGTCTCATTATAGCATAGGAAGTAAAATGTTTACTCTCTTATCTTCATAATTTTAATAACTTCCTCGATATTGGTTAAATTGTACCATTTAGCTCCGTAGGTCTCTTAATAGGTCTCCAAAATGTCTTCAATTGTCATATCTCCTTACATAGGCAACTTGGCTGACTTGATATTCGTGTTCTTCGATCCAATTGGTCAAGCACTGTGTAAACGTACATTGAACATCGTCGAGAAACTTAATGAGAAGCACAGTGATCGAATGCGATTCTTCTTGAGCAAAGCCGACGAGGCTGGGCCGGAAAATGACCGACAGGTGAGGACCAATCAAATCTCAGAATAGTACATTTCAATAATTCGCACATGTAATTAAAAACATGGAATGTGTAGCTGTGTATGAACCATTAAATTTGTCATGATTCTGATCAACAATATTTAAGACTAAACAAGTCTCAATTGATGCTTGTCATCAGTAATTTATGTATGACGGATCAAATTTCACATTTGATGAAATACGGGCAATTTTTAAATGCTTTTCTTTATTTCATAATTTTAACTCATCTAATATTTCATTTCTCTTATATGGTATAAGCAATGCTGGCAATGTATAATATAGGCAAAAACAAATGATTTGTTGCCCATGCATTTGGAAGCCTAGGCCTAATTTTTTCCCCCGTTTTGGTTGGTATAATTGCTAATATCCTTGGTTATTGTATCTTATAAGTTGTAGCTTGAAAAGTGGCTTTAGGTAAAAAAAGTGATCAAAAATGTATTCAGTTTGTACAACTACCTAAAAGGCCTTAGATTCTGGGTGGCTCCTCCTAGATCTCACAATGAGAACCTTGCAATTCTTGGTGCCTGCAACATTTCTCCTTAAGTTTTAGTAAGTAGGAAGGGCTTTTCTTTTTGTTTATGTACAGGGCATTATGAAATTTATTTATTTATTTATTTATTTATTTATTTATTTATTTATTTATTTATTGTGTAAAATAATGATTATGTAAGTGTTGTTATCTCTGATGATCATAAGTTGCTAAGCATTGGGTATTGTGTAGACATAAATGGCCATGGATATACTGTACCCTATTAAACAGGTTTCTCCTACTTGTAGTTTTTAAATTCCATTTCTTAAAACCTTCTTATCATTTTAAAGATATGTGCATGTCTCTAAGGGATATTCTCAGATATTAAATTCTGTTAAATCAATTATGCTTATTAACAGCATACTAATTCATAAAACATTGATACTTATGTCATTATTGTTCAGTATGGAACAAGGTGCGAGAGTATTCCTTAGTAATATTTTTGAGGTATCGTATATGATGTCAATTGGTATTGCGTTCTAATATGAGATGAAAGAAATATGTGTTATTAGTGATTAATGAGTGCTAATGGCACAGTCATTAGATCAAAGTAAAGGTGCTTAGTGATTTGCTTAACTCCAAGAAGAACCCTGAAGAAAATTGACATTAAGAAATCGATAAAGATGAAGATGATAAAGAAGAAGAGCCCTTAACAGGCATGACCAGTGACATGCCTCCATTCACTAAGATCATTCTCAATCTTTCTTTTCTGTAGACTCTCTGTTTGTGATTTAGAAAAAAATCTTATTTCTATAAAAGTAATTAAGAATAAGAGATGTAAACATAATAATCTACATGAGCTGGTAAAATATATTCGATGTTACGTATTAAAGATGTACTGTCCAAAAAAAATCATAAAAAAAGAACATTTTTAAAATTACCTTGCTCATTTTGAAGTAACATAAAAATTATCTGCTTTTAAAAACATAAAAATTAGTGTATTTGAAAATATATTTACCTATAATTTTATAACAAAAAATTATATAAAAATTTTCAGTCACTGAAAGTGTTTTACAGTACTGTATTATCGTTATCACATCCAATATACAAATCAGTGTATACATTTTTAAAATTCAATCATTCCTATGCTCCAGGTTAGTAATTTGTATGTTAAGCCCCTCTCCCACTATGGTTTTTTCAGCATACAAGTTAGAAGAGTTTGCCGAGTTGCTAACTCAGCAAACTCGACAAAAACTCATTCAGTAAGCTTAGGGAGAACTCTTACCAACTCATAGAAGCTCTGAACTTGTGGCGCTAATTTTGTTCAAAAGTAGTACTGCGAGTTGAAAAATCGTAGTAAACTCAAAGGACTCGTAGGTAACTCGTAGTGTTCCTGGGATACTCCTACCTAACTTGTACACTATTCGAAATACTTGTCGGTTTTGTAATCGAAATGCTCGTACCTAAACTCGTATCTAATACGGTACAAACTTGTTATGCTTGTAATAATCTTGTTAAGCTCATAGTAAACTCGGTGCTGCGGTCGGTATAATTTGTATATAACTTGTAACCAACTCCATAAGGTCGTACCTCACTCGTATAGAGGTCCTTTCTGAAATGAATTAATTCACGCGTTTTCAACTCGTAGAACTCATGCAACTCTTGGATGAAATCAACCTAGGTGGGAGAGGGCTTTACTGCAATGAGCAAGATAATTTCAAAATTATTTTTTATGATTTTATGTAATTTTTAGCAGACAATACATCTTTAAAGGGGATGGATATGATTCAAAATATTTCAACTGATTTTGTATTGTGTAAATTGAACTCTACAATAATATTTATAGAAATATGAAAACAGTTTTGATAATCATTATCAATCTATTTGTAATCAATTGAATGGATATGATAAATGTGTCTGGCATATTGGAAAAGGTCAACTCATTAAAGATGCTTATTTTGGATTTTTTTTGTCTCTTTATGAAGAGGTGTTTGCACATAAAATCACATGGCATGAAATGAACATTTTAAAGGCTCTATATTCTGTGTTTACACAATTCAACATGTTTTGTCCTTTGACATTTCTAGATCTCGGTGTTTTCATTGCTTTAGCCACACATTATCTTTTCTCTTTTTTTTTTTTGCTGACATTAATCTTGGTTTCATTCAATGATTTATGATTATCTTAGTTTAGTTTAATGATCTAAATTCTTAATTAATACATTTACTTTTTGTTATTTAAACAATATGTATCTTAAATCTGACTAATATCATATTAAATCCATATGTGATATGATAAATATAAATGATAATGATAAAATTGATGATGATGATAATAATGATGGTGATATTAATAGTAATGATGACACACACAGGCATAAACTCTTCCCTCTCCAACCCATTTATACACACTTAAACACACTCAATTTAAGGACATATCACACCAAGAAAAGATTAAGCGAGAAAAGAGAGATGCTTGTAAAGATTAATAATTTTCTAAATTATGCAATAAAGGGATAAACAAAGATATACATTAAACATACTAAATGTAAGAAAGTGATAGGATAGACCAAAGACAATAGTCAACTTGACAAAATATGGACTATTATGCAAGTTCGTGTCTATTAATTTATTATGCATTAATGATTTATATATCTAATACATAATTTATATTTTTATGTATTTAATATTTACAGTAGAACTCATATTAATAAGGATGTCTCCTGAATACTGCTGTAGTGATAAAAGAACTTTCCCTTTTTTTTGTGGCTGAATCAGTGTCCCCTTAATAGGGGTGTCCAAAGGAGGGGTTCTAATGTATCTCTCTATTTTGTCTGCTATGAGAATACATGTAGCGGTATGCATACAAGCAGCTCTAAGTTACACATGATAAACCTAAGCATGTTATATTTTTATATATATGCTGGTCTCCCAATGAGAGAGTTCATTAGACATTCATCAGGCAGTGGGTGAAAGATTAATGCTTTTTCCATCCTAATCTATGTTACTTTCCTTCGTAAAGTTTGCATATAGCATACAATAGTAGCACGAGGATTTTCTCGATGGAGGCCAGAGGTTGCTCAAAATTCTTTAGAGCTCCCACTGAAAGCCAGAAAGCTTTGTAAATTTAAAGACTTGTTTGTTTAATCAATATTTTGAGTTTCACAATCTGTAAGTTAGAAATTACATAAAACTTAGCATTGATCTGCCCGACAAGGATTCCTAGTACTCCTACACTAGTGCTACCACTGATATCATATATATAACTTTTTCTGGCAATCAATTTGGTATTAATGATATTTATAATGTTGTTTTTTAAGCGTGTCATGATGCAGATTGTACAGGAGTTATGTAAGCGACCGGGGCTGAATAAGACGTGCTTTGATATGCCTACCATCTATGTACCCAACCCCAGTGCTACTACTAAGGTATGTAACAACTTGTTTCCTGATTTTTTCATTTTCTGAATAAATTAAAATTAGTTTTTTTCATTCTTGTATAGAGTTTTAGAAACATTATCTACTGATAACCAACATGCTATAATGCTAGTATATATCCATCATAGAAGTCGCTATTGGATTAGTATAGAATTAAAAAAGAACATATCAACAAAAATATATTTTATTATATTTGTAAATAGACAAATTGAAACTCAATTTCTTTTTCTATTAAAATGTATATTTGTATTGATATGTACATTTTAGTCTGCCTCAGCTCATTTGTATATGCCCAAATTCCCTCATACTCCCTACAAAAACAACATGACACATGAAATGAACTGAAACCCTTGGCAAATTGTGTTAATAATGTTCTGAAGCACTTGAATGTTGGTATGCGGAAGGTTAATTCAGGTGTGTTTTTATTCCAGAGTCGATGTGTCAATCAAATTGAGGAGGTGTGCAAGACGATCGAGAAGAACATTAATCAGACAATACAGAATACTCTCAACACTCTGGAAAAGGATTGCCAACAGATATCAGATCTTATAGATGAATCTCTGAATAAAGACAAGTAAGTTAAAAAGTCTAGGTATCTTTTCTTCTTTGCCTCCATCCCTTCTGACTTCTTCCATTCTACTCCTCACCACCTCCAGATTGGGTGGAGGAGTATGTTCCCATCTTTTCCTTGGTTGACTGCAAAATTTTCTAAAATATATATTTTTTGGGGAATAGTTTTATAACTTTCGTCTTGTGCTATTTTTTATAAGATTTTCCACCAGTGGTGGCTCGAAGATATATGTTCAGTGTGGCTGTCCCAACAGGGTCTGGAAGGGAGCTCTGTTGGTGCCTGGGCTAAACCTCCTGGGCTAAACCTCCTGTGCCTATTGAAAAAAAGGACATTTTCAGATAAAATGGGTAAAAAAGTGGTTGGTTACATTAGTGGGCACTGGCCCATCCAATGGTATACTTCAGTCCCTTCCCCACTGGCAATTAGGTGTGCTAATGTTTCATTCATTAATTTGAATGAGCTCTGTATCACTGCTTTTTCTGTAGTTAAGATTCACTCATTATATAATAATATTAAATGTGTTTAATGTTTTGTTTCTAGGCTAGCACATTCATATAACTTACGAGCAAGAGGCAAGGCATTTGTTTTCAATTTACTGGGGCTCTGCCTTCCTTTGATCCTCTTCATCAACTTTCTTGCTAGCAGTGTATCAAAGGATGTTATTGATTCATTCCTTGGTGAAAATGCCACAGATGTTATCAAGCTGTATTTGGTAAGTGAATGGTGAATAGTAGAACTGTCTGTATGCCTAGTATGTATAGGCAGTCTTTAGACTAATGAGCCAGACGTGATTCAAGCTAGGTGTGAATCTTGTGTCGCTATACATGGGTTGTCATGGGTGTACCAGCAAAAATCATTAATTTTTATAATTGCATCACTTGTCTGCCCAAAGCCAACAAAGTAGAAATTCTTTAAAATGTATATAAAATAATAAAGGTGTATTAGTTTATATTATCAATACAACTACGGTATTAGTTGTTTGGTAACATTACTGATCTGTTATATCCAGCTGCACTGTATTTCATACCAATAGAATCTTAAAAGCTATAACATCTTTAAAACCCCAACAATTAAATTATAAACATTTTAATTTTACCAGTTAATGGTACTGTATTTATTTATGCACCTGTTGTTGATGAGAATAATTTTCTGATTCAAAATACACAAAAGTTATTCAAGTATTAGATTTTATTGCTCAAGTTTTTATAGGTCAAAGCAGACCCTCTTTATAGTATTAGATGTAATAGAAATGTTACATTGTGATGTTACATAGTAAAGAGTCAGATTTCTATGTTATTGCTACAGCACTTGTTTCTTAAAGGATGGGTGTATGTGATGCGTCTATAAACAAAACCGCATATCAGGCTTAGAAACTTCAGTTGTTGTTAGACATGAGAAATAAACCTATTATTTAACAGAATTTAAACAAAGAACCCCAGAGAGCGAGCATCTAATTTTTTTTTAAATGTCGAGCAATCACATGAGATTTATTTCCAAGATTTTGAAAGTGAGCATCGCCAAAACCAATCTGTAAATCCCTTGCTGTTGGATGTAATGTTAATGCTTTCTGTTTTGTTATTTTTTTTTTTCTAGGGACCTGTGGAGCGTTCTTGGCATTTGATTCCGTCCGATTATCATTGGTATGCTTTGGGAATTCTCTTTTTCATGTCATTTCTTCTTATCATCATTGCCAACTTCTCAACAAGGTATGTTAACAAATTGTTTTTATGTATATATAGTCTGTGATTGTGCCATCACAAACAAAATTGTTATTACAAAAACAATGTAATGTTATATACTAAATGTGAATTTTACAAAAAATATATAGGGTAAAATTATAATAGTACAATATAATAGTTACAAAACAAAATACAATTTTTAGTTAAAAATTCATTCTTTATTTTGTGTTGGAACAAACTGTACATAATAAATATATAATATTTTTATTGTAATTGTGGTTATTTCATTGTGTTGACGTAACTGAAGAAGTTCATGTATAATGTGGTTTACAATTTCATGAATTGGGTACATCTGCATTCCCAGTTTTTTTGTTTTTTTTTCTTTTTCTCAGATACTTTAACGTACTTAATCTTAATTTTACAGATTGCGTCCAACCTTGTCCAGGAAACAGAAGCGAGTGTTAAACGAAGAGAAAGAGCATGTGCAGAAACATGTGAAAGCAACCAAGGTAAGCCCTCTGATTGGTTGAATGGCCTTACTTTTGTTTTTTTTCTGCTTATATTTTCACACTTAATTTTTTATATAAAGTATCAACCCATACTTTTAGCTATCCAGTTAAAAATAGAGATTATTAGTGAAAAATGTTGGTGTTAATTGACCAATCAACTGTAGGTACTTTTCAAGATGTGATCGGAATTGGTCAATCAAATGCTAGTTACTCTGAAAAATTTAACTGCAAACCAGTGGCAGCACCAGCGGGGGGTTAAGGCTTAAGGGGGGCCCCCCCCCATCGGTTTAGTGAAGCCCCCACATCGGCCAAAGCTCGTCAGGCAGTTGGACCAAAAAAAAAAAAAAAAATTAGGCCTAGTTTTCCTATCCCAGCCATTTTTGCGGCCTTCTATAGCTATAGTTACACCCATAAATATTTAGGGGGGGGGGCCCAGTCGGACATCTTTGTGCCCCCCTCCCCATACATTATATCCTAGAGACCCACTGCTGCAAACCTTAGTCACAACTAAATGTAAACTTCCATGAGACTTAGCCAATCAATGCAAAGATTTATGTCAGATTAACCAATCAAGCAAGCAAAACATTTATTATCAAACTATGAACATGTATAATATTATTGAATTGTGGAAATAAACATTGAACATACTGTATTAACAACAAATATTTGATATTGATCTTTCAGGAAAAGCTTTACAGTGAATATCTAAGACAGAGTGTTGCGGCTCAAGATTTATAATAAGAGGCTGAAGATTTACATAAAAAATGACATTTACAGAATGCCTTACTTAACAAACCAGATGGGTTTTGTAACCAGTTAATGAAGACAAATGATCCTGTGTTTCACATCATTACCATAGTTCCTCGGTTATAAACCCCACCCCCTTAAACACAAAATTATACTGATTTTGGGATGTTGGATTATACCTAGAGAATCCAATAATCACAAAAAAAAAACAGCCTTTTGTAATGGTATGTTTAATAATCTAAACTAAGCTAACCAAAATTTGCCCGAAGAAATGCTTGTATGCAAAATCGGACATAAAATAGGGGGTGGGATTATACTACTGGAATTTTCTTTCTGCTTGTGCTAATCATCAAATAAATATAAATACCTGTAATGTTTATTTTATCATGAATTCTTTATGGCTATGTTATAATTATGACATTTGTGTTAAAGGCTTTGATCATTGAAAATGCTTATGTCAATGTCCTAAAAGCAACCAATCACAAGCCTTGTTAAAATTATTGAAAAATGTCCAAAAATCAACCAATTATTTCTTTGAAATAAAAATGTATCAATGTCCTATAGTAACCAATTACAATTTATTTTTTACTGTTCTCATCATTGTAATAATAATATTTATTGTCTACATTGATAAAAGTGCCTGCTAAATAATAAATATTGGTCTTTTTTACCTCTATATCTCTCAACAAATTCTGTATTTTTCAATCCGCTTTAAATTAATTGAAGAGTTGACCAATAGTTCTTTTTTTTGTCAGATTAAATTCCTAAATTTGAATGTGTGCCTTTCCAATTGAGTTTTATTATTCTTATCAGTGTTTTGTGTGTAAAAACCTGATTCAAAAATTCATACAAATGACATTATGTGAATCTGTAAAATCAAATCATTTGACAACAGAAGGAGCATCCAGAAAACCATATCAAATTCCTGTTTTAAAACATACAGAGGTGACAACCTGTCAAGTCATGCAGACACCTATTGGGATTATTCGACTGGTTCATTTCGTTGACTACGTTTTTTTCGTTGAGTATTTTTTTATTCGACTGGTTCATAAAATAGATTTCGTTCGTTTGTATTCATGTAACCAAAACAAACATAGACGATTGGTCAGTTTAGCAAAACATTTGCATTAATATAATTTATATTACATTTCAAGAAAAAAAAATTATATTTTTACCCACATGAAGTCAAAAAAAATTTGTAGGCTAACAGAATTCAAAAACTAGATGAAAACATTTTTTTACAAAAATCCCATACTGCCACAATCTAAAGCAACCTTGATTACACAGCGTGTATCGCGGTAGCTATGCAGCAATTTTGCTTTGTCGCTGAAGTGGTATAGACCCTCCAGCTGTGAAAGTCCCTCCCTGGGCCCCCTCTATTTCAAATTCCTGTATCCACTACTGGTAGATGTACAGTGTGTGTTGTAACGCTATATAGTGTGGATGAATGATTGCACATTATCATTAGATTTCATTTAGTGCGCAAGACCCTATCGGGTCACACGTTAAAAGAGGTCATTTCCGGGATATCTGGTTAAATGAGCTTACTTAACACATCTAACTTGAGCTTACTTAACACATCTAACTTCATTTTGCTACACAGGGTAATACCATCGTCAGTGATTTCTGTAAGAAAATTGAAAAATAGTAAAAACGTACAAATACTGTATTATGAATTTGTGAAAGCTGGGTGATTTTGCATGAGATTCTTGCTTGCTTGCGGGAGTGCAGTAGGTCGTCCCAATTTACAGGAGACTCCCACGATTTGCTGGAGACTTAGGGCCTTTGCAATATTTAGCTTCACATGTGGCAATCATTCTCACTCCTTACTGAAAGGTTAAGACAAGAGAAAAGTGATTTGGCAAGTTGCCACATAAACAACATAATGCTGGATCTTTATGTATGCTGCTTCCTCAATCTTAACTTTTCTTGCCATAAGCAATAAATGTTGCCATGCAAATTGTTTTTCAGAAAACTGCTAAAACAAACCCCATCTTACAAATAGAGTGATGTTCAACATCATGAAGTACATTTATTATAACAGAAATAGTGATGATTTTAAACTTATTTAACACATAATTGTAATATGCTTGTCTTTCAGAACAGACATGTTAAAAAATGCTTCCACATAAAATATACATAAATGTTATATTACTAAAATATGACATGTAAACAAGCTAGTTTACACTAATACACCATTGGACCCCTTCCTTAGTGCCAAACATAGCAAAAGCCAATAAGAACAAATCCAAGAATATTGTATGTGCCAGTAACATGATTTTTCCACTGATCTCTACTATAATAGCTGCATTGCTATTCGGCCAGTCATTGTACAGGAAAAAGGGTAGCCGCCGGTGCCATGCTAGGGAGCCCAAGTGACTACCAGTTTACACAAGTTTCTTTTGGCATTTTGTTTAAATTATCGTATTGTTAAAAATAATGATTAATACTTTTTAATAATAAATTTAAATTTAACGCAAGGATTTTTTTCAAATCATCTAACCACTTCAATGCGCCTGTTTATGCAGTTTACAAAAGCATGAGTGATGTTCTTGGTGCCCGTGATGGCGTATCAGAGACGTTTTAGGGTGCACAACAAGTCAACAACACTGCGTCGGTGGCTTCACTAAAACCAGCTAATGAGCAATCCAGCTATTATAGAAGAGATCAGTGGATTTTTCACAAGTTTTTTTATGTATAGCTGTCATTTTGTAGGACCTTAGTAACAGTAACCAAGGAGTGGACTTGGTCTATCAAGCTCAGTTCACGCTAGATGATGGCATTGCATTTTGAAATACTGTATTATTGTAGTACTAGCAGATCATTTTAGTGATTATTGTCAAATATTAAGTTGTACAGTATGTGAAAAAAACTCATTGATTTACATAAAGATGAGAATGCTTATACTGTACTGTTTAGTAATAGTTATCATTAATAATACAGTACAGTATTAATAATAATTATTTGTTGTTATTAATGGTAATAATCATTGTCAATAATAAAGTAATAAATGACATTTATAGAGGGCAGCAAATAGATATTATAACGCAGAGCAAGGTAATACAAGAGGGGAGTCAGCAGCCATTGTATGTCTGAGTTTTCTAGAACTATTCTGAGACCGGAGCTTCCTACACACCCAGCCATTGTACCTTGATGACCAACTCATAATAGTGCGAAAAATCAAAATGTATTGGCTTTGAGTTGCCTTTCTTCCTTTTCTTTTTAATATTTTATTAGACTTCGTATTTCAGTCGGCAGACCATTCCAAGTGGCTAGTACCAATTAAGTAGAATATACCTAGGTAAAAAATTTAAATTTGGCTCCAAGGTGCTCATGATGCTGGTTTTCATATGAAATTATAACTCTTGGAAAAGATGAGCTTTAAATGTTATTGACTCTGCATCCTTGATGATTTTGGGCTAAAATTTGTGTTTAATGTGAGAATGTATTCCTCAACACTACCAATCCAATATTAAAATACAGTATAGTACTTTCATTTCCATTCCTTTTTATTGATTACACTTTTTTATTCCAGTAATTCCCTTTAAACTTCCTTTATAGCAACTTAGTGATACATTATAACAATGTATTAATGATTTATCTACTGTTTCGCTAACTGCATACCATAATAGTTGACTTCTTTCTTCCTGTTTTGGCCTCATTGTATACAGTATCTGCAATCTGGTTTCTATGCAATATTAGGGCATTAAACACAAGGGGAGTAACCTATGTTTTACTGCTAAAGCTTATCAAAATAAAAACCTCAAAAGTTAGAACTTAGACAGGTAATATTTAGGGATCTGGGCCAGCCCTGGTTTCCCTTTTGGAAAGTCAAAAAAGAAAAGAAAGTAAAAGAAATTATTGAATTCCCAAAATGCCTCAGAGGTTATTTCTGGGTGTCTATAAAACAAAATTTTCCTCGACCCCTAGGGTAGTGGGCACTCGATCACCGCCGCCCATCCCGCTTGCAGACATCTCTGGATATGCCCTTTTGCGGAAAAAAAGAAGTTATGAATATATAATTCATTGGATATCAACCATGTTTTGAGAATAACCAAAATCAGTAGTTAATTATTAATGAAAACATAATAAATTGGAATATTTATATAGCGCCTGTTAGAAAAATATTATTTGTCATTGGCACTAAAAAATTTTGATTAATAATAATAAAGCTTGTTATTAATAATAATAAAATAATTTATTATTTGTTAGTAACAAATTAGAGCATTTGTATAAATTTTGTTAGAAAAATAGCATTTTTCACTGGCAGTTTTAATGAGCTTCTTGAATAAATAGTATCGCAAGTTTATTTGGAGAAGTTTATTTGGAGGGGAGTTAATAATTTTGGAGTAGCAAAACAAAAAGAGTGTTAGCCTGTATGGACATACAACATTCTAAAGATAATTGATGCGAGATGGATGGAAGATAATAAAAAAGAGGGGGTCCAGGAAAGGACTTTCACAGACGGAGAGTCTACACCACCTCCACTCCCACCACGATGGGGCGGAGGTAAATTTATGATGGTGGTCAGAAATTGCATTGTCGGATATAAATTTAATTTTCCTTTTTTTCCATTTTCTTTTAATTTTGAAAAATTTAGGGGTCCCCGTGCCAGCTCACCACCCCACTTGAGCATGTATATATACGAATTAGAAAAATAATTTTAGAATTAAGGTTTGTAATTTAACAATACTATTAATTATACTGTATATATATATATAATAAATATATATTTTGAAAAAAAATATTCTTCAATGTCTTTGTCACAACCTCTAAAAACCTGAAATTGGTTGAGGCATTGATTTGTGCAATAGCGCGAAAATGTGAGGCCATTACTGTTATTTGCAAGCTACAGCCTTAACTAATCAAACATATGCACGTTTACAGTTAAACAGAGCTCTATTTTCTTCTCAGATTCAGGTGTCCCAAGTTGGAAAATTCACTTCCGGTTTAATTAGCTTTCTTAACTCATCTATTTTATGCCACGCAGGGTGATAACCACCAGTACTGTTTTAATAAAGCAGTAAAAACATGCAAATATTATGAATTTGTGGAAGATGAGTTATTATTTTCCAGGAGATACTTATATGCTTGCATGGGACAGTTCTGGTTTCCGGCAGATTCTGGACCCCTGCAGATCAGTCTGACAAACTAAAAATACAAACGTAATTTGAATATTCAATTGGTTGCCAACAGTTCCTGTGAACTGTGATTTTAATAATCAGTCAGATTGAGATGTCAATTTTCTTACAAATTTCTTTTGATGTTACAGTACAAGAAATAAGAAAATATGCATACTTATTACGACAACAAGGCATCCAAGCATTACTCACTCACTGAGATGTCTCTTAGGATTAATAGTATTATTCCAGAAATATTACATGTAGATTAATGTACCAAGAATTTTGGCTTACTGCAGTAATATAAAACTACCTTCATACCATATTACCATAGTAAATATAAATGGCTTTTTACACACACAAATTCATTCCATGTGTTTACATGATTTTTTTCTACTTTCTCCAAAATCTTGGTTTTTTAATGAGACCCCTCTGAGTGTCACTTTTCATTTATAGCCACTGGTCTTTCTAGTTTTTTACTAGACAATATATTACCTTGGATCTGATAAAATTATCTAACACAATTTCCTGCTTTTATACACACAAATATACTACGGTAACTATTTAAATTTGCATACAGACATTGTAAATATTCTAAGAACTTAAAAAGGGCCAAAAATGGCGACTAACCCGGCAACAATAGGTACAAACACTAAATATTATGAATAATACTTTTTCTCTTGATACAGTATGAGTATTTGTGAAGGAACACTGCAACATTTAAAATTTAAATTTTAAATACAACCTTAAACATTGTTGCTACAGTAGGCAAGATATCCAACTTGCATGTAAGAAACTACTATAGCTTCTATAAGCTTTCTATTTCATAGTTAATTCTATATGAGATTTATTTCCAATAATGTACAGCTCTGTGTAACTTGTAAATTTAATAAACAAAAATAATTTGAAATGGCCTTTTCATGTCTGCTTTGAATTATATTCTTATGAATTTGTTTGCTTACAATTCTCTGCAGAGATAGCAGATACCTAAAGTTCTATCCACATTACTTTCATTGACAAAAAAAATGTTGTATGCCCATAAATAGTCATGACGTGACCATATTTAGTCATATCACATCCTTATTTGTCAAATAAGCTTTGATAGTCTGGACAGGGCTTTAGAAAAAGTTTGCTATAGTCTGTAAACATCTACCTTTAGTACAGTATATTCTTTTATGCACTGGAATAAGCCTTATCATATGTAACTTAATTTGCATTAAAAATTGTTTGATCACAGGGAGAGGACAAAAAGGGAATGTGTGTGTCAAAGATTATGTTACATGAAATTGCACACAAACATAGTTTTTCTTTATGAACAAGAATGTTCATCCCTGTTTTTAATCAATTGTATATTAAATGTTGCAATTTCTAACATTAATTTTGAAGTTGAGATGGACACGATAGGAAGTTGCAGTCTTAAAGCAAGAAAATTACAAAAACAGAATTATAACTCCCACTTCCTGGATTATGTTCAGTTCTTTTTCTCTCGATATTTGTCTGCAAGTTGATCTGCTTTTTTGTTAAATACCGCACGATTTTTCTTGAACTCGTCAGCTACATCAGCACGTAAAGGGTGTTCTGGTTCTGGATTTAGTACTAAACTTATAAGACTATTGAGAACTGTGAAGAAATAAAACACCTTTATATAAATGTTTGTTTCGATAATATACATCAAACTCAATATAATTCTCTTCGCTAATAAGAATTTAACCAACATGTTTTTACCAAAATTAGTTGGACAATGAACAACATATATACAACAGAAATCATTTTATTGTACAGTTTATTGTGTGTGTGTGTGTGTGTGCACACATGTGTGTAGATTAGAAAAAAAAGTTGGCTATGTACATCTGCATGCTATTATCAGTGTAGAAAAAAGTTAATAAGAAATTACTTTCATAATATCCTTATAGTGAAATGTTTTAGGGCTCAGGGCTAACTAGGTTATGTTTAGGCCCTGGGCAAATAATATGTTGGGTATTTAAAGAACAATTTTTCCCCCTCCCCAACCATTTAATAGACAGGGGTCCCAAGTCACTTGAAAGTCACAGGGTCTCCCAGAAATTGGAACAGTCTCCAGCAAGCAAGCAAGAATGTCTGGGAATATAACACATTTTCTGCAAATTCATAATATTTGCATGTTTTTACTAAGCATTCTCATGTCTCACGGAAGTCAGTGCTAATGAGTGTCACCATCACCAGCAAAATATGTTAAATTATGGTCAGGATGACATCACATCATGAACATATATAGGCACATTATGACTATATATGGGCAAGAAAGCTCATTTAACCAGATTTGTCAGAAGTGACTTCTTCCAGGACCCCTGCATAGAGTATGCATTTTAATATTTATTACATGTACTGTATCTTTGTTTAAAGTAAGTAAACTTGCGCTGACTTACTTTGCATTGTCCTTGTAGCAGGCTTCCAATTTTCTGGGCTAATAAGTGGGAGACATATCTGACCATTTGCATCAATATTGGGATGGTATATCGGGGTGTTGAAGACTACCTTTGGGGGCTTGAATGGGTACTCCGCCGGGTATGTAATCGTTACCTTCAGTTTTGCGGATTTGTAAGGTTCAACTGTCTGTAGGAATAAAATTAATTTACATATTTATAATTTACATTATTGTAATGCACTAGAGGCAAACTGTACATTGCATATGTTCCAACCCTCCCAATTCAATCAGAATTTTTATGCAATCTCCTGGTCTCCAATGTGTGGTCAATTTCTCACAAATTTTCAGAAAAGAATTCCAAAATACCAAAACTGGCTAATTGGTAGCTTCTGACCAATAATTTAGTACAGTACTGTATTTCTGTATGGTATAGTAGAGTTAAAAATTGGTATTATGTCATTCCACCACCAATCATCAATTTCAAAGCTAACAGGTACAGTACCATCACAAACTCAATCTTTAACAGAATTTAAATAGACACCAAAGTACCAGCATAAATGAAATGATTTTGAGGTGAGGTGAGTGCAAATTGCCAAAGTATGAATATATGACAAGAGCATGGACATTGCACAAATAAACAAAATAATAGTAATTGTTGACTTGACTGTATCAATAATTACACTCGAAATTAACTACAAATGTTTTGTCTCAAGACATTCAAATAAACTTACAGGCAAAAGAATAGCTGTCCAAAGCAATATATTTTCATCTTCTGGACTTATCGAATAAATCATCTCTGGTTTTGCACTTTTGATTTCTTCAAATTCCTGGAAAATATAATAATAATAGTAATAACAATAAAAATAATAATAATAATATCAAATGGTGGTTGTTGTAATTGGAATAATAATGTCATCTATGATTGAACGACAGCTTCTTGCTATGTGATTGCTTAGGCAAGGCTTTTTTCATACCTTATTTAGTGCCCTCGCCGCCCAACAATAATGATGGTTTCAAATAAAAATCTTTTTTTATTACGCTCGCTCTGCCTTAAAATCTCCAAAAATAAGATATGTATATTTCTTACTAATTATATAAATGTATAGCACTTAACCATCTTATAACTACACAGTTTACATTCACCAATAACATTTTATTTCTCCTCCATCTAGATGTTTTTGGCATAACTATTTACTAAATAAGAAAACAAATTTTATTTATTTTTTTTTTTTTCACCCTCCTCTGATGATCTTTAAAAAAATAAGTTTGCGATACTTGGTTAAAAAACATTCTAACCTTACCAACTGATCTGTCACATTTTGCCTGTTTTATCTTCTTGACAAATTGAAATATAGTACTTAGACATTATATAAGCCACTTATAGCAATCCCCCCATGGGTATTCATTGGGTTGCCAATGCTAAGTACAGATGTAGAAGCATGTTGTGCAGCATGCAAGGCTTTGGACTTTCAATTGGAAGGTCGGGAATTCAAGACCAATGCTCATGACACTGCTTGTGTCTTTTGAGCAAGACTTTTTTATCTGCATTTGCCTCTCTTCACCCGGTAGAGTAAATGGATACCTGGCAGGAGCTGCATGATTCGGAATAAATACTAATAGTGCTCATTACACAGCATCACTAGGAATACTTCCCAGGGATAGGAAGAGTTAGCATGTTGTGTAGGTCTATGTTGAGTCTGTATCCTGTGATCAGGGGGAAAATAGTGCCTTCAGCAGTTTTTTGGATATGTGCTATAAATCCTAAAAAATCATAAAATAATAATAATAATAATAATAATAATAATAATAATAATAGACATTTACTACTGATTATAACACATGCTCCTTTGGTAAGTGTATGCAGTGTAGGCAGGTATATTTATTTTGTTGACGTGAAGCACTACATTACAGAACCCGAGGAGATGGTTTAGTTTCTATGTGACGTAATGAATTTGCGAAACATAGCCCAAGGCTATGAGACTGTTTACTTGGCAGCCAGGCACAATCATTTATTGACACGAAGCACTACGGTACAGAACCAAGGGGATGCTGTAGTTTTTATGTGACATATACAACTTTCGAAAAATGACCATCAAGTTTCGCAACAATTTTAGCCAGTGAAACCAAATATTTAAGACTTAGCCGCGACCCATTGACCTTATGCCAAATTATCCTGAAAAATCTCAGCCAAATTTATGACGTTATTATTGTGGTGAGGTTTGCCTGCTTTTGGTCACTACCTTGAGTTCATTGTTTCCTTACATTATTTATTATTACAGTTTTGTCCTTTAATTTAAACAAAGATGTCATTTAAATGTAAAAAGTATGAAAATACCTAGTTATACCTTGTTATTTAGCTTCGATATTTTCTAGATTTCAAAACATACGTTTACATTTTGACCACGTGCGAGAGATATCTGTGCTTACTGGAATTACACACTTGACTTTTTTCTTTGAAATAATTTTATTTTATAAAACAGGGTCCCATATTTACAGTTGTCCTATCGGCCGAGACAACCTAAATTATGTAAAGGCAAATAAAATATAATAAGTCGTCTGTGTCACAACCATCTTAAAGAGGAAAAGGCCATTGTAAATATTGATAAAGAAATATTAATAACATTATGAAGATATCTACTGTATTGGTTGTAAATATCAAAGAGGAGCATTTGAAGGATAATTTGTTATCCAAACTTTATTTTCACTTGTGTGTAGCCATCACGATTTGCAAAAATTATGTTAAACTTGTTAGGGGCAAGTACAAGATGACATAAATTTGCCCTGCTGACCACTAAGAAAATATCTTAATATGGGACCCTGATACAAGTGTTTAAAAACACCTTTACACAGATAAATGACACTAACACACCAAGTATTGTTTAAAACTTCATTTGAAAAGGAATAAATGCAATATTTATTGGAACATAAAGTGATTCTACTTGTTAACACAAAAGCAAGTTATTCTGTACCATCTTTATATTCAGAATAAAGTTTTTTAAAATTAAAATTCACATCAAAAATGAACATCAAATTTAATACCTAGGCCTGTTAGTGCGATGGTTGTGGAAACCAAACTTTACTCACATGCATCGGGGTTCAGTTGTTGGCACTCTTTTGTAGGCACTTTCGACTCGTACGACGTACGAGGTCAAAACGGCAATAAACCAAAACGGGAATGACCAAAATGGCAACAGACCAAAACAGCAATAACAAGTACCAATTATAGGCATAGACCAAAGCCGCAAAGGAGAAAAATCGATGCTAAGAGCAAGTGCGGCTGGGTGTGGGCTTCAGTTTATAATTTTCTGAATCGTCTTGAAATTGGCCTAATCATCTGTACGCAAATCAAATATTGCCATGGCTCTTTTTCCCGCTTTTAATGTTTAATCACGTTTTTTTTTTACACATTATTATTATTATTATTTTATACTGTGTCTCCAATCCTTTTATTATTATATTTATATGTTGTTATATTGTTATTATAACGTAGTTGCCACCATATAATGTAATATTATTATGTAACTGGTGTAATAATATTAATATTACTGCCTTCTGTCATCAATACTTCTCGTCTTCTTGTATTGTTAGTACAATAGTTTTTCTTCTTATCACTTTGTTACTAATTGATATATAACACAATTAGCACACACTCTTTGTCACCAACACCAGTAGAAAGATACTCTTCAATTTATTCAGCCAACTCAAATATACTTTAACTTCCAATTCTGGGTTTAATTCAGTTCTCAGCAATCCACAACACATACAGGCAATTATGACGCCTAGGCCGGAAGTAAGACAAACTTCAGAACTGCACCAAACTTAACTAAATTCAAATTTCCCTCACATATTATACAAAACAATCCATGGTATGTGAACCAATCACAAACAGTCCTATATTCACATGATCTCATGAACCAATCATAATATCAATAATTTTCTTATAGTGACATAGCATCCAATCACAAGCAAGCTAGTATAATATCCCAAATAAATCAATTGTATAGTAACATGAACATTACACTTCCTTAGGTATTACACAAATAAATCAATAGTATATCAGCATTAACATTACACTTTCTTCAGTGACACACCCAGAATTATAATTAGTTTTAATCAACTTTGTAGAATAAATTCTACAATAATAATGTCAAAAGTAGCTTAAAATGACTTAATACAGATATGGAATACAGTACTCCATTACATTTATTATTAGGCCTATTATTATTGTTTTTTCACGTTTTTTACTTCTATGACATAAATTGTTTTGGAAATCGCAAGAAGAAAGCCACCTCTGTCATAAGCCACCCCTGTCAAAAGCCACCCAACAATGGATTATACCATTGTAAGGTGGGGGTGCACAATGGGGTATTTGTCTTGATGTTGGTCTACAATAGGTTTTGGCTGTAGTGCTAGGAGTTTTTTTGTATCAGACCTCTTTTATTCTTCTGTGTATTATGAATTAGAAACTGGGTGTAGCCTACCTAGGCATAAACATGATTTAGTATTCCAAATGCAAACATCATAGCTTCTCTTAATTTTCTTTTTCCGTCGATTAAATTTAAAGTGAAGACCTACGTCGATGACTTTGCAACCGGCCGGATGATGCACGAATGTTGTAGAAAATGTTGATTTCTGTAGATATAATGAAATATTATCCGAATTTAAAACTTCACATATAATTAAAATGAAATATAAGTGAACTATATATGTAATATTTACTACAGTAAACCTGTAGTTCCAAAAAAGGATTTGTAAATTTACATTCTACCAATCTACTAAAAGCCCAGCTAGGTCACCGTATTAACTTCCGTGTATGCGTAAACTTTGGGCCTGATTATGCAACAGCGCCCAAACCCAAACCTAGCGCTGTTCCAGGAACGGCAAAAGTAATTTTGCATATAGGTGTGTTATTGTAATAATAATGTTGGACATTAAATCTTTGACATAAAAAAGTTTCTTAATAATTTTTGGAAGAATATTATATAAAGCAAAGTTTCCTAATAATTACTGAACCCCACTTTAATTAAATTTTTATTTTATCTGTATGATCCATGTGTAGAAAATAAATGAAACAAAACAAACTGGAGAGAAGCCTTCATAGTGGGTTATCCTTGGTGTGATCACACCAAAAATACTTCTATCCCTATGCAATTACTCTATCCTATCCTATCTTATATCCTATTAAAAAGACATGGTATTATCAACCAACAAAACGAACACCAATTTCTCACATTCATTCAAATAGAAAAAAAATTTGTTATGATGACATTGTATTATGATAATTTATACTTATATTATTAACCGTATTATTATTATTATTATTATTATTATTATTATTATTATTATTATTATTATTATTATTATTAATATTATTATTATTATTATTGTTGTTTATTGGGCCTATTATCATTAGGCCTATTATCATTATTTATTATTACTATTACTACTATTATTATAATAAATAAATAATAGTTTAATCATTATATTATTATCTATTATATCAATGGCGATGATAATGTTTAGGCCTACATTTCCCTTAGGTTGTAAAGTGCATTAATAAAAATTATTATTATTATTATTATTATTATTATTATTATTATTATTATTATTATTATTATTATTATTATTATTATTATTATTTTTATTATTATTATTATTATTATTAAGGGCCTAATAATAATAATAATAAAGATGATAATGTTTGAGAAAATGGAGGTCCCTGTCAATTCGAACCCAAGACCTCCGTTTACCGTTAGGATACTTTAAACTGAGCTAATACAGTTGTGCGCAGGTGCTTGTGACGCAATGTACATGACTTTTTTTTGTCTCAATTGCGTATATTTTAGTATGCGTCGAAAGTCTGTAAGACGTTTCGGATCAGAATTCTGTGATCAATTAGTGTAAAAATATGCAGTTGCGTATCTAGAGGTCTTGAAATGTGGTGGGGGATGATGGGGCGAAGGTGAAGGGGACACGATGATCAGTTGAGGGGCGCGCTAATTCGCAAAATATGGTGATTTTAGGTGATTTTTACTACTTGACCGTGATTTTTTTTTTTGGGAGGGCCGACTGAAAATATGTAATAAATTAATGCATTCTTTATATGTTTTATTATGTATGTTCCAAGCCCGTAGTGTACAGTAGTTGAATAGAAAAACTTATTCAGATTCACAATCAACGTCCTTTAAGGCAGCTAGGAGGCTAGTACAGTATTTGTTTTATACTGTATATTGAAGTTAAAATAACTACGAGCGCAATTATTATTTATCCGGATTTCTATGAACAATCTGTTGTGAGTTTTATATAATTGTTGAATGATATTGGTCATTATTGCGCTCGTACTGTGTGTACGTGTTATCAAAACTTGTTCCTTATATTTTTTGTTGAAATATTGTTCATGTTTTTAAAAACCAAGACTGACCCGGAAGTAGATCGATAACACTTAGTGTATGTGGGTTTTACAAGATGGTTGGAGAGGTGAGGTGAGATGGTGTTGCATTAGGCCTATTCTGCCTACTTAGGTCCAATATTCGTTTATTTAAGGTATCAATAATTACTAATAAATACTAGATTAACAACGATGTGTAGTATAAGCAGTGAATTAATGTCTGAAAGTTAATGAATATTTGCGATAATTGCCTAGGCCTACTTTTTATAAATAAGGCTGAGTAAGCAGGGCTTATTTTTAGGCAGGCTAGCTAGATAGGCAAGCCCTGCCTGCTGTAAAGCTGTATATAGTGTAGCTTACAAATGCTAGTACTCTAGGACAGCCAGGCCTTGAGAGTACAGATAGGTAGGCCAGCATTGCCATACTGTTCTACCAACTAAACCTAATATTCTAATGCGGAGGTACCATCACCACTAATTATATGATCAGATTTTAATTTTAGCCTGAATTCTTGACAGTCACATTGTCATTGATTGTCATTATGTAAAAAATAATATAAATAAGATAAAATAATATAACTTTTATTGTCCCAACATTAGAAATTTGTTTTTTCTTTGACAATATGAAACACATAAAATTCACATACTTTATAAATTTAGGTTTAAAAAAAAATTAATAGTAATTAATAATAATAATACTGTAATAATAATATTTGTATGATCAGGGTAATAATATGATTCATGAAGTCTTGCTGGCAGGAAGTGCTATAAATGAAAAACGTATAATTATTTATTATATTACAATAATAATAGTTATTATTAGACAGTCGCTATTGTTACACAGTCTTAAACCAATTTAAAATCCTGATTGGATGTTATTGTCCTAATACAATAACATCCAATCAGAATAAGGAATTGGTTTCAGACTGGTGTAATAATAACCACTGCCTATTATATAATACACAAAGATATACAGTATGCTTAATTTTCAACTAATTAAATAAATATTACTTTTATTATTTACAGGGTTTATAATGGAAGACAAATTTGCAAATCATGCTTCATTGAAAATCAGTATGCCAATCTAAACTGAATATACGATGATCCTGGAGGTAAGAAGTACAATATGATCAGCATTAGTGTGGGAGGCGTATTATGGAAGTCAGACCTGGTAAAGGAAAAGCAACCTTGGTCGAGATGGAGTGTTCATCAGGGAAAATGACTTCAGATCATCAGAACTCAAAAAATTTAACTCGAATTGACTTTAAAGCAATTGGTAATGGTAATATTAACTTGCAGAAAGAGTTTGATTCTGCAATCATTTCAAAAACTCCAAATATTACTAATCATTTTCAAACTGACTCGGATTGTTTGAAAGTAAAACTGACCTCTAGACTGAAGCAAGTAAATGCTAGTGAGCAAGAAGAAAAAGTATTTCCACAAGAGGAAGAAAGTAAAGCAGATTGTAGGCATATCAATCCATCTAGCACATCTAACGTTAAATTCAAAAACCCCAAATCTGCATATGAAAACATTAGATGCGAACGATATTGCTCAAATTTGTTTGTGGATCTTGAAGCAATATCGTCTGCTGGTAAAACCTACTCATCGTCTGAACAGGAATTCTGTGAATTAAAAAATGGTGCAATATCAACTATAATTTCATCATTTCACACCTACGTTTTGAATACTAAAAAAACTGGTGCAGTCAAATGTAAGACACAACACCGTAACAACTGTGATGAAAGTCGACTTAGCCAAAGAAGACAGTGTTGTATTCAATTTGAAATCAAACCCAACTCATGTATATCTACAGTTTGTTGTGTGCTGTGTAGTAGTGATGATGCTAATTGTGGTCAAGAAATAGTATCTGAGACAGTGTGTTCATCAATTATTAAACAACTCTCATTTGTGTCAAAGTGGACAATGGATATTAGTAGTACAATCCATCCATTAACTTCTTCTGAGATGAATGCTCTTGTTCGATCCAAAATGAGTACTTGTAGACCATCAAAACCACTTAAGTGCAAGCGATTCTCACGTAAATCTACATCTTCGGATATTGGATATCTGCAGAATTTGATCCTGCAGTCAGACTTAGTGCTATGTAACCCTCTGGAGGAGGAGTCGGATACCGAGAGCGACGTTGTTTCAAACAATGAATATTTTTCTGATTTTTGTTGGTTTGATATATTAGATCTAGATATCCTGTATCAAATATTTCATCTCCTGCCCACAAGAGATTTAGCCGTACTCAAATGTGTCTGCCAAGATTTTAAGTGGTTGATAGAATTTTATGATATTGCTGGAGTTGACTCCAAATGGTCGGAAAGCAATAGCTACCGAGATGATCCCTGTATGCACTGTGGGAAGATTAAAGATCCAAGTGGCGATGTCTCCCTGTGCCGTTGGCATCCAAAGGGATATTACAAGGATGGTCACTATGGAAGGCATTACTGGATTTGTTGTAGGCAGAGTCTTGAGGATGCACCAGGCTGCGTAGTTGGAGTTCATGATAATAACTGGACGACCTCAAGGGAGAGGTTGTGTCATATTCCAAAACCCAAGCGAAAACCACCCTTGAATAATTACTGGACTCTAATACAATAGTAATAATTTTAATCTAAAAAGAAGTTCGCACAATGATCGGCAGACAATATTTCATATTTAATAATAATAAGGCTTGCCATCCCAAAATCAGCGTACTGGCGCTAATTGTTAAACTGAGTAATTAACATAAGAATGTGTGCAGCATTGTATAGTACAGAGAAGCCATAAGACTTACTCATAAATTTGGCAAATACCGGTATATACAAAGTGGGTTCCAGTAAATGGAGAACATGAATATATTGATTTTTTTAATGTATTCATAATGTGGAGAATATGAATTTATTAAAAAGTAAATTTCCATGTTTTGGTCACTAATGCTGGTTTTTGGGATGGCAAGCCTCGTATTCAGACAGCTTTCTGTCCCAAGTAACTTTACAACGGGGACGGATTGCTATAAGTGGTCTTTAGACGGTCTTAATGCTTAGCCGGCTTTAATCGTGACATCACTACTGGTCTATGATTATAGAACATTGCTATACCGCGGTCTAACCAGTTATCCGTCTTGAATTTTATAGCCTACTCGAAGGAGGCTTAAAACGGTCTTAAATCATTTTCATCATTGCATTACAGGTACTAGACCTAGGCCTAGATCGTCAAAGACTAAGAATCGAACAACGAATATTTAGCAAGCTTCTCAGCATCTGTAAAAACCAGTCTACGTTTATTTACGTTCATTTTGATTAACTATGCATGTTTTGAGCAAGCATAACAGCGCTCTCAATTTTATGTTACCAGGGCGTGCTCATTTGCATTTCAATACTCAAAGCGGTCTGAGCAAAGACCATTTTATAGCAATGGAATTAGTAGAGTGCCTTTAGTAAGACCGTCTAAGTGATAAAGCTGGCTTTATTCAAGGAGTTAAGACTACCAGTTAAGACCATTTTATAGCAATCTGCCCCAGATGTATATATTATATGCAAGCTTTACTTCAGACAAGCTTTTGCATGATGCATACCGGGCTAAATCTGCTTATACAGTACTTCAAGGTAAAAAGAAGTTAAACTATCTATGGCAAGTTTCCATAAGAGATGTGCTGCCCTTTTTGTGCAATGGTTAATATTGAATTGTATTTAGCAATTTATAAAAACAGAGTGGTTTATGTTTACACATCACAGAAAATGCTGAATTTGACACTAATCTGTGGGTTAAAACTTAATGTCTTTCAAAGAATGAGGTGGTGATGATAAACGTTATTCCAGGCTCTGAAGTTAGTGCGTCTATAAGGCGCATGCTCTGAGCAAACCTTTCATAAATACCTTAGATTACAATACATAGCACACAACTCTTCAGGTGGACCTGATGGGGCATATAGTATCTTCACAGGCAATTCACAGGGCGTAGGGTAAGTAGAGTGTACTCGCGTTTAAGACAAGGCTTAAAATAGCAAATTACTATAAAAGAACAGGGGGTCTTATACACACGACATACAAATTTTGGATTTTTTAAATCATGTTCGTCTTATGTGCAGATCGTCTGTAACATGCAAATTTACTACCTGTATTACAATGAAACTACCAAATGCTAGTACTGTATGAATGAACGCAATTTGAAATACAGGAAAATAAGAATTTGATGAATATTTAAAAAACTCATAAAATGGTACTATTTTGGAAAATTAGCCTTGCATTTGCCTCCATTTTTGCCCAGCTAGATGCAGTATCAGGACCATAAAAATTAGGAATTACGACGATGAGGGGGGGGGGGGGGGGGTGGCGGCGGCGACATAAAAATAACGTCCAAAAACCTTCTTGAACTCGGGTGTCGTCTTATATGCGAGTCGCCTTATACGCAAGTATATTCAGTAGACCATTAATTTGAGCTTTGAGCTTCTTTCTACCTTGTCTGTACAGCAACATCTTCATCCTCATCATCAACAACATCACCATCTTTAATGTCATATTCAGTACCATCATTATGATAACTATAATAATCATCACATTATCAGTATAATTTTTTTTCCATCATCATTATTACCATCATTATATGTTATGGTCAAAGTTATGGTTAGAACTCAATCAAGTGGCAGTATTTTGACAAAATGACAATGATTTATGTACATCATTATGGGCTTAGGTGAGACTATACCTTGTTTCGCTAACTTAGTTTTTTTATAGATCGTCCAATGAGGGTGGAGAAAAAAAAGTTTTTCTTATTTAGCAAATGATTTTGCCAAAAAATTCCAGACAAAAGAGAAAATAAAATAAAATTGATGAATGTAAACAGTGCATTAATGGGATGTTATATGCTTAAATTTATATAATTAGGAAGAAATATACATATCTTATTTTTGGAGATTTCAAGGCAGCAGTGGGCGTAATCAAAATAAAGAAAAACTTTTTTTTTCTCTGAAATTTCCTTTTTTTTTTGTGGCAGCAGATGCACTAATTGGCCAAATATAAAATTGTATTTTTATTTGAAATCATCAATATTGGCGGGTTCGCTAAACATGGTGTTAAAAAAGTCTCGCCTCACATATACAATCGATCATTATTACCACTACAATTATCATCATCTTCATTCTAATTATTAAATTACCAGTCATTATCATTAATAATCATTGTGAAATTGGGTGGTTTGTTTTTTTAATTGTTTTATTTGTATTATACATTATTGTATACATTATATACTCAGATATGTATAGTAAGATGCAAGACCTGTTTTATAAAATTTCAAAGAATAAATTATGAAATAATTATATGAAATTGAATTATGAGATTATGGAAAATATTGACAGATACTCAAGTAAATAATAAATATATAGTATATGTATACTTGATTATACTTGATTTTATAGATGTTTACTATGTTGCTGTCAACAAAATTTGCCTTTTATCACAGTAGAAAGAATTACCGGAAATCATTCTCAACCTACATAATAAATACTTCCTGCTCCACCTCATGTGATATTGTTGATGCTGTCAATGTGATCAATCACATACATACATACTTTCACACACACACACATATATATATATATATAATTTACCTT